CGCTGCAATCAAAACCACAACGAGCTATCATCTCACACCTGTCAGAGTGGCTAAAACTAACAACACAAGAAAGAACATGTGTTGGCGAGGATACAGAGAAAGGGGAACCCTCTTATACTGTTTGTGGGAATGCAAATTGATGCAGCCACTCTGGAAAACAGTATGGAGGTTCCTCAAAAAGTTAAAAATAGAACTATCCTATGAACCAGCAATTGCACTACTAGATATTTACCCAAAGAATACAAAAATACTGATAAGGGATACATGTACCCCAATGTTTATAGCAGAATTACCAAGGATAGCCAAATTATGGGAAGAGTCCAGATGCCCATCAACTGATGAATGGATAAAGATGTGGTATATATATTATACACACAACAGAGTATTATTCAGCCACAAAAAAAAGAATGAAATCTTGCCATCTGCAATAACATGAATGGAGCTAGAGAGTATTATGCTAAGTGAAATAAGTCAGAGAAAGACAAATACCACATGATATTCATATGTGGAATTTAAGAAACAAGACAAATTATAGGGGGAAAAAGAGAGAGATGAAAACCAAGCAGCTGACTCTTAACCATAGAGAACAAACTGATGGTTACCAGAGGGGAGGGGAATGGGGGAGATGGGTGAAATAGGTGATGGGGATTAAGGAGGGCACTTGTGATGAGCCCCGGGTGTTGTAAGGAAGTGCTGAATCACTAAATTCTACACCTGAAATATTACACAGTATGTTAACTGGAATTTAAATTAAAAATAAATAAAATAATTAAATAAATAAAAATAAAAGCTTTATTGAAATGTAATACATATACAAGTCATCTATGGTTTGTATGTTCTCAGTGTTGTGCAATCACCAGCACAATCAACTTTAGGACACTTGCATCACTCTAATAAGAAATCATGTACCCATTAGCAGTTACTTCAATACTCCCCTCCAGCTCTTAGCAACCACTAATCTACTTCCTGTCTCACAGATTTGCCAGTTCTGTACATTTCACATAGATGGACTCATGCAATATGTAGTCCACTGTGACTGCTTCTTTCTCTTAGCGTAATGTTCTCAAAGTTCACCCATACTGTAACATGTATAAGTGCTTCATTTGTTTTTATGGCCAAATACTATTTCATTGTATGAATATACCACATTTTGTTTATCCATTCATTAGTTGATGGGGCATTTTTGGCTATTATGAATAATGCTGCTATGAGCAAGTTTTTATGTAGACATCTGTTTTTTCCCACGTCCTTCCCAATACTTGCGATTTTCTTTTTGATTATAACTATATTAGAGTATGAAGTGGTTATTTCATGGTGGTTAATTTGTTAGACCTTGCCTTGGTTTCAAAAATGATTTCATTATACTTACAGTGATAAATATAGTACATGTATTGTTTTTTTTTAAGTATTTTTTAAAAGATTTATTTATTTATTTGAGAGAGAACATGAGTGGGGCGAGGAGCTGCAGGGCAGAGGGAGCAGCAGACTCCCTGATGAGCAGGGAGCCCGATGCAGGACTCAATCCCAGGAACCTGGGATCATGACCTGAGCCGAAGGTAGATGCTTGACTGAGGCACCCATGCACCCCAGGTCATGATTCTTTTGAGATAAAAATATTTCAGTAACTCTGGGGCGCCTGCATGGCTCAGTGGTTAAGCTTCTGCCTTCGGCTCAGGTCATGATCTCAGGGTCCTGGGATCAAGCCCCATGTCAGGCTCCCTGCTCAGCAGAGAGTCTGCTTCTCCCTCTCCCTCTGCTTGCTGTTCCCCCTGCTTGTGTTCCCTCTCTCTCTCTCACTTGCTCACTCACTAATAAATAAATAAAATCTTTAAAAAAAATTTCAGTAACTCCTGAGAAGTTCACTTTTTCATGGATTTAAGAGGATGAAAAGGAGAGCCACGATCCAAATCACAATAAAATTAAAATGGCATAAATTTCAAACTCCTAGGCCTTAAACTGCATGGAACAAAGTATGGCATTTATAGCAATAGCTTTTCAAACTTGGATGGCAACCTATACATAGGAAGAAATTTTTTTTTCACAGTAAGAAATTTTAAATAGTACTCAGTAAATATACACATGCACATAAAAACAAGTATTTTGAGAAACACTACTTAAACTTACTGAAAACATATATTTAAAAAAATTAAAAAAAAGAAGAAAGCAAAAGCAAAACAACTTTGCTGGTTCCAAATCACTAAGTTGTGTTATACTTGCAATGTGAAAAACACTGACTTAGCCTATAGAAAGGGGAAGAATAAATAAATGCATGATAACGAGTTAAATCATGACTAAAATTTCCAAATGTTCTACAGAAATAGTTCCAATGTCCAATGTGACATTTTGTGGAGAGATTGATTTAGAACTTCAACACTGAAAGTGAAATATAACTCCTTGAACAAAATTTGAATGCAAAACACGGAAGTCTGACATTTACTGGATCTCAGTGCCTGATAGAAGAGCATTTCAATGGTCTTTCTATAGTTCAATGACATGTTTTTTCACCGGGAAAGATATTACATATGGGATTATTTGTTTAGACAGAAAGGGATTCTACTGGCTCCTTCCAAACACAAATTATGTATTAAAATCCATTTTGTTATATTATTTGATAGAGTATATAACCAAAATATGGACAAATTAAAATCTGCAACATGTCCATGGAGTGGCATTTCCTAATTTCTTTTGAGACTGGCAAACTTCTATTACAGTATAGAAAAAAACTCCTGAGGTATTAAAAATTTCATTTTATCCATTTTATATGGTTATACAGTAAAGTGATTTTGAAGTAAGATAAAACACGATTTGCTAAGAAATTCAGAGTTACATAGCATGTCCTAAAGCGTGGCTTGAAATGTAATTACCACTTTAAAAAAGAAATGTAATTACCAGATGTAATATGAAAACAGACTGAATGGAGCTTTTATAACCTGGCAATTCTTCTATTTAAAAAAAAATCCTGACTGATTTATTTTCACAATTTCTGTGTTTTATGTCACAACAGTAAGAGATGACTTCAGTTTATCACATTGCTATTATATCATCGTTTTAAAATATTATATCTTGAAATATTAGAAGTAGCTTAACATGCTTTCAAGAATAAATTTTGATCATGTGAATACAATTTATAAATCAAGTGAAGATCAGTTTTGATGTAAATTTTGAAGAATTATAATTTTTATGCTCTTTGTGACCACTGTAATTCAGCATATGCTCCTTCTGATTCCTCTTCTGCAACCTATATATAGAAGATGAAATTAAAGAATAAAGGATCAAAATAAAAACCTGAACTGCATATGGCCAAAATGACCATGGTGGCTAACAAGATTTGGCTGCGTTACAGGTACCCTAAATCTTACGAGGCAGCATCACTCAATTTATGAGTTGAAAGCTCTCCAATGGTTCAACAATTTTATAATTATTTATAAAATAATGACAAAATTAAAAAATTAATAACTGAAACGAGAAATTGACACAGATGCCATTCTGGCTTTTATGATAAAAGCTCCTGAAATTCTTACTGGGAAGAACACACATAAAACAAACTGTGAATAAGCCCTCAGTAGAGTGCCTTCAAAGTGGGCAATATCTGTGTTTGGGAGAAGGTTGACACTGGCTCAAATGGGCTTGGAGATTCTCATGCTCACAGCAATCTACTTAACTTCCACTACAGCCTCTGCATGTAATTACCTTCTGTTTTTCTAAACCATTTTTAAAAATCATCAATTTCTATCTTACCATGACTATTCCTTTTTTTTTGTTTTGTTTTGGTATCTATTTCTATCTTCATTACTCCTCCTCTGTCATTAAATTATCATTCCCAAAGTCACATTTTCATTTTGGTTTTGTTTACAAAGAGAATTTGAACAATTAAAATGCATATATTTAGGGAGGTGATTTACGCACTAGTTACACACACAGACATGTACACACATGCCTTCAGACAGGCATTTGTCTCCCTTTCTGTACTAGACTGCTACTTTCTCGTCTCTGCAGCTTTATTTGGAATCTAGTAGATAACAAGGGCAGGGATTCCTGGGTTAGTATAGGTAATCTACAAAGCAGATGCTCTGCCAGTAGATAATTAAGGATAATTTACAATGTTATAATTAAGTGAGAAGGCTCTGGTAAGACTCTTTAGGTACAACCACAGAAACAGAATATGGCTGGTCTTCATGGAGTCCAAAAAGGACTTACTCAGAAAAAATCTTAGTGGTGATTTTACAAGCAGGACAAATAAAAGAGAAAGATTTCATACATGGTTTTTATAATTAAAAATTATTCTTTCTCAATATGTTCCAGATGATACATTTTTTAAATTTAGATATAATTGACATATAACATTAGTTTCACGTATACAACATAATTTATTATTGGTATATATTACAAAATGATCACCATAGTAAACCTAGTTAATAGCCATCACCATACATATAAATTCTTTCTCTTGTGATGAAAACTGAGAAGATCTTTTCTCCCAGCAATTTTCAAATATATAATAATTATTAACCACAGTGCCCAGGCTGTTATTATTATATTGCTAGGACCAATTTATTTTATAGCTGAGAGCTTGTACTTTATAACACCCCAGATGATATTTTCAAATGTTGTCTCCATGCATTTTTATCATGTATGGACTATTACACTAAACGACATCATTACTGCTGAGCTATCTGAAGAAACTGGAAATGCTTAACACATGAAGAAGCCTAACGTTTTTTTGTTTTTTGTTTTTAAATAATCTTAGGTATATCCTTTCTCCATTTACTAGGGGTAACTTGAGAATTTTTAAAACTTAAAACCATGTCCTGCATGTATTTTGGCATCAAAAGACTACATGTTAAATACAGTTGGAAGTATTCTGGCAACTTTAAGAAACATGAAATATCTTTTTCTTAATGGTTACTGGATTAACTATATTAATAGAATTACTTCTGGAAGATTAGACTTTCATTTTAAATACGAACTACAAATAAGTTTAAATAAGAACTTTTACATACGTTAGGGTTGTTTCCATTCTCGAGACTTGTTCGAGGTCTTCATGAGGGTCCTTAAATCCAGTAAAGTAGTAATAAGATTTGTCCCACTTGATGGGCCTGTCAGACATCCTTGTAGCCTCCTTGAGAGGCTGGGAACGCACATTAGTATTCAAGCTTTGGATATGTTCAATAGATAAACTGCAGGAGTTGAGAATATACAATACTGTGCTTAGCAGATCTCTGGTGTGCAAAGTAAATTTGACTGCTCGAAATCCTAGAGAATATAATTCCCCCAAACAATTAATAGAGATGATTATTCACTTTATTTAAAAACACTTTTTCATGCAACATAAAATAAAAATCTTTTAAAAACATTTCATTACTGATTAAAATCTATCCTACTGGCAAATAATCTGTAAACAGAAAACTACTTCCCTTCTCCAAAACTATACCACAGTATCTTTACCTTCGTATTTCCTCAGTCAGTTCCCTGTCTAGTTTGGCACCAGAGACCAAACCCATTCCAGCCCAAGGAGGGGATTCAGAATATTCCCAGTGCTGCCCATAAATTTGTTCTTGACAGTCTGAGAGATGGAAAAGCTCTCCTCTGAGCAAGTGTCCATGAAAGACAGTTTCTGGCACTCAGACGAAGGGGCAGAGGAGGGACAGGGAGGTTGTACTGTGACAGTGGTTCAGACAGGAGCAGCCAGATAGTCTAGTCTCAGGGGTGACACAAACCCATCTCGAATGTTCTCTGTGATTACAGGAGATTGTCTTCACACTTGTCCGCCCAACTACCTAGTAACTCAATATTTTTGGAAGGGATGTCAAATTCCCTAATTGTTTAAGTTAGTGCTTTACCATCTGATTCTGATTTGGGGTAGTCTGTGGGCTAACATTAGTAATCTAACTTGTTAAATCCTCAACAGGAAAGCTACTGTTTTCTCCTTTTTTTTCTCTTCATTGCTGGGTGTTAGGCATGGTTCTAGCTGAATTTATGTAACTTCTCAACACCCCACCAACCATGTGATTATTATCTCACTGCAAATGTGAAGAAATCTGGCTCAAGGAGGTTAGGAAGAATGCAGAGCAAGGGCTTAAATGAGTTGACTCCAAGCCCAGTACTTTCTCCATTACAGCATGCTGATTCTTTCTTCATTTTTAAAAAAGTATTTTTAATTGATTTTGAAAATTATAACATTATTATATAAGTACATTCTCACTATGAAATTAGAGATACATACAGTAAAAATAGAAGTCTCCTGTTAACAGGCATACAACCTCACATCTTTACTAGACATAACCACTATTAACAGTTAGGTACCTATGCTTTTAGACCTGCCCTATCTCCTATGGTAGATATTAGCCCTATGTGGTGGTTTAGAATTAAATTAATTAAAATTAAACAAAATTAAAATTCAGTTTCTGGTCAGGCTAACAACATTTCAAGTGCTCAACAGTCACATGGGGCTTGTGCCTGCTATATTAGTGCAAATGCAGAACATTTATATCATCACAGAAAGTTCTCTTGTACAAGACTGCTCTAGACCTTTTCTATGGGCTTATGTATGTACATTACATACGATATATACCCCTATTTATTTACACAAATACACACCTACAGTTTAAATTGTTTCCTTTTAATATATAAATAGTATCATTCTAGACATATTACTTTGAACTTGATTTTGTTACTTAAACTTGGGGACTCTTCCATGTCTGTATGTATGGATCAACCCACTCTTTATAGCGGTTATGTATATATATGATATATATATATATCATATATATATATATCAGTCCGTATAATGAAGGTAATGAAGCATAATTTATTTGACATTTCTGAAACTGACGGACATAAAAGTTTTTAATTTTTCAATTTTCATATAAGGCTGAAATGTATTTTCTTGTCTTTGCCACTGATGACAGATACCACAATTTAAATAATTCTCAAGAGATACATACTCTGCTTGCCACACAGAGTTAAGGAATCTAGAACATGCAAACTAAGAAAGTTTTCTTGTTGAATTCTTTGAATCATTTGATGATAAAGTGAGAAATACTGGCAAGAAAGTTATTCTAGTTAGTGAAAGAAAGGAAAATCCTAATTCCTGTGTTTGAGGTTAGGAAGAGCTCAGTCAAGAATAAATCTGTTTCTATCTTATCCCATTAATTATTTAATCAAATGTAAGGGCTAAGGAATGCATATATGCTTTATTGGAAAACAGTATCTAATTAGTTTAGTTTGGATTTGACTACTGAAACTAAACATTTTAATGTTTGTTGGCTATTGGTATATATTGTTTCCTGAACTGTCTAGCCAGTCTTTGCCCATTTTTGTAACGGAGCTACTTTGTGTTTTCCTTTTGGTTTCCAAGAGGTCTTTATACATTAACATTATCTTTTTATCATATATGTTGTATGTTATTTCCCATTTTGAATTTTTTTCTAAATCCATTTTTGTTTAATGAATGGCTCAAAGTTTACCATTAACCATTACTCAGTCACAGCTGCCTACAGCTACTCGTTTTAGCATTAACTCATAGAAAGCTCCTAGTGAATCTTCCACTTGTTTTAAGGAAGTTTATTTCCTCATAGACCACCAAAAATGTAGAGCTGAAGAAGCAATTAGCCTTTAATTTTAGTAATGAAAATCAGTAGTCAACATTTTACCTTACAACCATCTTATCAATGATCTTAATTTTATAATCAGATAAAGAGGTTAAAGACATAATTCTAGGAAAACAATCAATTAAGTGATATTTTTTTACGACCAAGGCTTCAATCCAAAGGTATTCTGGCAGTGGCAAACTTAATGAACATATTTATCACGTAGCTTGCAAGGGAAACGCTAGAAATAAGAAAACACACCGGAAGTGCTAAAGGGTTCCTGGCCTTCAGAGGAATTCTGCTCTGTTTCTCTTACATAAAATGTAAGCTGAGTTGGTTTCAAAGACTTGAAGCCTGGTTTCTGGAGGTTTTCTAAGTAGACACTTAATCTCTTAAGAGAATTTTCATTGACTTCCTGGAAAAAAAACATCAAGAGGCATTTACACACAAAATAGAACAAGAAAACAACAGAAATTTTATCCTGACCTTTAAACATATTATTGAGCATACTAAATAATTTAGTATTAAAAACGGGATTCCATAGCTCTTTGATGAAGAATAAAATTGGATCCACATTCTTAAAACATGTATCAGAACAAACTCCTTATGGCTAAGATGTGAAAAAATGTAACTATGTAAGTACTAGAAGAGAACATGTTGAACTCCTTTATAACTTTGGTGTGGAAAAAGCTAACTATAACTAAATATCTCTAATACATGATTGACAATACATGATTGGTAAGTCCACTTACATAAAAAAATTAAAAACTAAAAAAAAAAAGCACACAAGAAACCACACATACACACACAATAAGCAGTTTACAGATAAATAAGCTACTGGGAGAAAATGTTTGCAAGATATTTCTCTCTATAAAGGGCTCTTAAAATGACCATCCTGAGACTGGTTGAATTATAGTACATTCATTCAATGGAGTACTATATAACCAAAAAGAAAAGAGAGAAAGAATGTGGTGCAGATATCTAGGAATTGACATGGAGTTATTTCCAAGGTTGTTAAGTGAAAAAAGGAAACATCCTTTAGTGAAGGAATAGCTCTACAGAATGGGATAAATAGTAACCATGTTTCCTATCACTGTGATCTGAGATTAGGAACAATCAGTTTATTTTTGTCTGTTTAACTGATTGTAATATGTCGTTCTTCTGTTCTTCGCTACCATAGTTCAGTGGGCAGCTGAGGTACATTTCCTGCTAGTGTAAGACTAAATCTTCGTAATTCTGTTTTGCCACAGGTTTCTATTTTTGCCAAAAAGAAACAGCACCCAGAAACTAATAAAAATGGTTATATACAGGAAGTTATACCAATGGGGTAAAAGAAATGGAGACAGGAGTGAGACTTCTGAGTAAACTTTGTATTTAGTTTTGATTTTTGAAACCTAGAAATGTTTTCTGTATTTTAAAACTGAGTTAAAATGAAGAGGATTAACAACAATAGCTGTGCTTCACTTTGAGACCCTGGCCTGTTGGGGACTAGATAACACTTTCCGTCTGTTTCTTTAGAAAAGGGACAAGGGTGTCCCATACAAATGCAGAGAAGACTGGACTGAACATGAGGTGCCAGGAAGGGTGAACTGCCTTCGCAGAGCCTGCACTTTGGCAACAATATGTCTAATATGGGAGGGAAAGAGAAACAGTACTGCAGGATGTGGGGGACAGAGAGTGCTGGGAAGGAAGGTAGGGTGACAGTTTCAAATAGGGCAATCTGGGAGAGCCTCATGAAAGGTGACACTTAAACAAGAAAGGAAAGGACAAGCCATATCTATGTGACCGACGCCCAATAAAACCCGGAAACCATGGCTTGGCACAGAGTAGGCACTCAAACACAAGTTGAAAGAGTAAATGAAAATACAGCTGACTTCTGAACAACATGGGTTTGAATTTCATGGGCCCACTTATACATGGGTTGTTTTTTTTTTTATAAATATAGCACTGTAAATGTCTTTTTTCTTCGTTATGATTTCTTAATAACATTTTCTATTCTCTAGCTTATTTTATTGTAAAAACACAGAATATAATATATATAACATGCAGAATATGTGTTAACTATTTACATTATTGATAAGTAAGGCTTCTGGTCAACAGTAGGCTATTAGTAATTAAGTTTTGGGGAAGTCAAAGGTTATACACAGATTTTCAAATGTGCAGGGGGTCAGTGCCCCAACCCTGGCACTGTTCAAGGGTCAGCTATATTAATTTACTAGAACAATTACATTTCAGGCATATTGCATTGGAGCTCTCCATGACCACTCTCGGGTTCAATTTGATAGAGGGATTTACAGAACTCAGAAAAACTTATACTCACGGTTATGGTTTATAACAGCAAAAGGATACAGATTAAAATCAGCAAAGGGAAAAGGCATGTAGGATAAGAGTCCAGGAGAGGCCAGGTGCAAGGTTCCAGTTGTCCTCTCCCAGTGGATTTGCAGGGCTAGCACTTAACCCCAGCAACAATGTGTGACAATGCATGAGAAGTGTTGCCAACTGCAGAAGCTCATCCAAGCCCTGGTGTCCAGCATTTTACTGGGCTCGCTCACGCACATATGTAGCACCCAAGTGACTGACCTTAGCTCTTCAAATAGTCTCCAGCACACCCAGAGGGCCTCAGACATATGAAAACAGGCATTCACCAAAAATCACATAGCATAAAATATCTGGCATGGCCTGAGACCTCACACATATAAAAGATTCCCATCAGGCAGGATATTCTAAGGGCTCAGAGCTTATCTCCCAGGAGGCAGTCAAGGGCCAATACCAAAGCCAGGCATTTCTCTGGAATGTAGAGTTTAAGTAACCCATGCCTGCTGAGTTTACTTTTTAGAGCACACAGAAGTTTTAATTAAAAAAAAAAAAAAAAAGATACATTGGTAGAGGAGGAAAAACATTCATCTACTACTAGGCATAATTTTTCCATACTAGGCATAATTTTTCCAGTTGGGTTTAAAAATTTTAAATAATTAACATCCTCAGAGTAATGGATATTTTTCTGCTAATTCATTTTACTAATTACTTAGAAAAGATCTGACTTTTAATAGCCAACATATATATCAAAAATCACAATCAGAATATTTTCCTAGAGCAAAGAAGCAAAATTAATTTTTTTCCACTGCAAGTAGAAAAAAATTATGTAATAATGTTCTGAATTTTCCAGAGTTCTAAATTCCTTTTCATGTTAAACCAGGTATTAATGTTAAAGAAGATAAACAGAACCAATGAAATAATACTGAGTGCCCTAAGTTTACTGTAAGTTACTCTTCATCTCTGTCTGCATTCCTTGAGCACACAGTAACTGAGGTTGTAGGGAAGTGAACCAGCAGCAGCATGCAACAGAAGGGAAAACCATTCAGGGCACTGAAAAACTTTCCTTGTAACTATCCTTAAAAAAGAAAGATTGACCATGGTGACGAAGCCTGAAATTTTCTTTCAAACACTCAATTTTACTCTAAAAACTGGTTCAGAAAACATTACTACTAATACTTTAAAGAGTCTCCATGACAGCTTTATTGCCTTCATAAAAAATGACAGATTTCATACAGAGGAAAAGCCCAGTCATCTCCTGTGTGCCTCCTGTATATTCACACAAAACACTTGACTTCTGACACTTGTGGTCACCAAATGAGCGGAGGTTTTCCCCCACAATAAGCGATTCTTTGTGACACCAGCTGGGTGTCCTACTATTTAACTCAATTCTGATATTATGTATCCAGAGACAGCATCAGATCCCACAGGTTAAGGGCTCAGTTCCCCAAGACTGTCCTCTCCCTCTGCCACGCCACCCCCATATACATACTTCAGATGCCAGTCACACCTGTCATCACCTGTGCTTTTGACCAACCAGCGATTTGCAGCAACCCCCTCCTTAGATTCTATTAATTTGCTAGAGCAGCTCACAGAACTCAGGGAAAAATTTACTTACGTTTACCATGTTAAAGGATATAATAAAGGATGCAGATAAACAGCCAGCTGAAGAGAGACACAGGGTCCCAAGTGCAGGAGCTTTTGTCCCCATAGAGTTTGGGAGCACTACCGTCCAGTGTAGATGTGTCTGCCCAACTGGAAGGTGTCTGAACCCCATACTCCTAGAATTTTATGGAGGTTTCCTCATGTAGGCATGATCAATTATGAACTCTATTTCCAGCCCCTTCCTCCTCTCTGGAGGTTGAGGGTTGGAGCCACCCAGAGTCACCACATTGGAACAAAAGATGCTCCTGGTGCTGCTACCATTTAGGGATTTACAAGGGTTTTAGGAGTCAGGTGTCAGGGATGGGGTCAAAGACCAAAGAACAGAACAAGAGATGCTTCTAGTGCTCTTCTCACTTAGGAAGTTACAAGGGTGTCAGGAGGTCTATGCCAGGAACTGGGGGCAGAGCCCAATGTATGCGTTTTCCACTCCCTCAGATTTCATAAGACAACAATAATTAGATTTTCAATTTTCAGTATGTATATTCCAAAGTAATTCAGAACACTGACTTTATCACTATGACAGAACAATCCAAATTTATAGAACTTTGTATTATATTGTGTCGAAAATTAGTAAAACTTCAGTTTATGAAATGGGGACTAAAGGTTAAATAAACAAAAGTTTACCCTTTCTCTGGGGTGCTGTCCAAAGAAATCTGGATGTACTGCAAAATAGAATGGCCTCAAGGCATTGACTGCTTCAGCTCCTGATAAAGCTCTTGAGGAGAGAAACCAGTGTGGAAATATCTTCTCTAGACATGACCTTTTAAAAAGATGGGGATTTATTATTCACCAAGGCACTGACACACACACACAGATCCCCAATGCATAAAGTGACAATATAATAACATTAAAATTATTATGTATGGAAAATACCATAGAAACAAGACAGAAATCAAAACTGTGGTTTTCTGAAATCTATAGAAGTTTTAACAAGCAATGTCCAATTATGAAATAAATAAGTTGTGGGGATGTAATGTATAGCATAGGGAATACAGTCCATAATATTGTAATAACTTTGTATGGTGACAGATGATAACTAAACTTATCATGGGGATCATTTAATAATGTATAAAAATATTGGATCATTATGATGTACACCTGAAACTAACAGGATGTTGTATGTCGATTATACTTCAATTAAAAAGAATTTAACAAATAAATAAGAAATATATTAGAGTTTTAACAGAGAGTGCCATGTTGTTTCTAAAAACAGTGGTTATAAATTCCTCTGATGCAATATGAGAAAATAATATTAATTAATAATAATAAAATTTCCCCTCAAAGCCTACTTTGAAATGTTAACTGGCTTTACTGCAGATGGTGACAATTTCCTGTGTCATTTTTTTCTTCAGATAAAAAACCCTCAATACCCATAGTGTAATCTTTTCTTTATAGTGAAAAATATTTTGAGTACAATGCTTAAAAGAAGATACAAGATGCCTCTTAGTTTACTTCCTCATGGCTGGCATGCTAAAATTATCCTCGTTGGGTAACTTGACATTCTTATTCTTAAATTTTGGCATAACTCACCTAGGAGTGTTTTTTTACCATACAGTTTTAAATCCAAATGGAATCATTTGCAATTTTGGGGAAGCACTTTCATGACATCAATTTTTGGAACGTTATAATTTTACCTCCATTCTATAATAGTCTATAAAGAAGTCTAACTATTAGGCACCTTTTTGTCTCATACATTAGCTCATACAATATTGAGTACAAGTGTCTCTCATACATTATTGAGTCTATGGAAGGGTTTTATATTTTTAAAATGACAGAGATTACAGGAAAATTTACAGAGATTTTTTAACAATCTGGAGACCACCACCAATATATTTTCAGATTAGATTACCTTTTTTTCTGCACGTGCTTGAACCTTTTACAAAGCCAATATACAAGGTTGTGCATGAAGGACTACAACAAGGACTCTGAACAATAGAGTAAGCAGTAAGCCAGGTCCTGATGTCCTCAATATGAGGCCGTGTAAGCAAATAGTGGCAGGTCCACTGATTCCCCCCACTTGAGCTTCATTTCTCATTTCCAGGTGTCTGACAGACACTTCAGCTATCCTGCCAGCCTCTCAAATTTTCTGTGTCTAAAAAAAGGAGTAGAGGTCACTGTTTTCTTTCTAGTCTCAGCATGGATACAGAAAGCAAGGAAGCAGTTCAACCCAGGATTATCTTCCTTATTCCTGTCACCGTGGACCACTTTTCTCAGTGTTGCCAGAGTACAAATCTGCACAGAGTACCCTGCGCAATTTTGGGCGGTCTGGAAGTCGGTTGTTTTTCTCACTTTACAATGTCCCGGAAACCGTTCCTTCTTTCCATTTTCTCTGCCACCCATTATCACCAAAAAATAGAACTGCATAGCCTCACCATCTGTCTACCCCCTAGTGTCTTTTCCCTACCATTTTATATACAGGTTAATTTTCCTTAAAATCCCACCACGACTGTATTCCCTACTCTAACACTTTGCTGGTGTTTCAACTCTTGTGAATAAAATCTACTTCTTAGTCTGGTATTTCAAAACCTCTGTAATCATTTCCAATATGTCTAAAATGACTTCCTACCACTCTTTTAGATGCCCTTGGGCCAACCCTCAGTAACCTTTCTCATTCCTCTCTTATTTCTGCATGATTTCCAAGCCCTAAACATGCTCCCTGTGTCCCAGTCTGCCTATCCGAACTGTGCTCATTCACTGAACAATTACCAAGTAATACGTGCCAGGAGACAAGGTGCCCATTTCCCCCAGAATCTTCTCTTTTGTATCCTCAGTACAGTCTTTCCCTCTTCTAAACTCTAAAAACAGAAACTGTTTACTCAGCATATTTGCAGCACAATACCATAATGTGTAAATGATGTTTCCATTTGTTCATCTCTTCCTCCACCCACCCCATCCTCCTCAGCTACCATGCACCCTTGAAGGCAGTAAACATGTTTTACATATACTTGCTGTGGTTGGCTATGTTAGTTGGCATCTGCTGAAAAGCAGAGGTCAAGACACAATTAGATGTGCAAGAGAACTGGGAAAGGGAGGAGAAGGTGGGGAGAGCTTTCAGATCCTGATGTAGGTCTGACACCTGCAGGACAGAGGAGAGGCAGGAGGACTGGGTAGGAAGTCTTGGACTGTAGCACAAGTTCCAAGAAGGGCTCAGCCAGGCCAATGAGGAGCTGGAATAAACCTGACTTTGTATTCCTGCTCTGCTTGGGCACTAACAGCCAGGAAAGTGTGGCTTCAAGGGAAATCCATGTACCCCGGGAGATAGGAGAGCTCAGCCGATATCTGATGGCTGGCACCGCATAGGGTCTGGCACAAGTATTATTGTTAATGTATGTTAAATGAATGTCTAGTAGGTATTTAATGAAAGGAAAGTTAACAGAATCAAGGAAAATTAAATCAAAAGCAATATTATGTTGCTTGAAACTGAGCAAATTCAGCACAAGAAAATCTGGATTTGTAAGACATTAGGAAAAGATTAGATTTTTGAAAGACAAATCACTAGAAGAGGGGTCAGTAAACTTTTTCGAAAAAGGGTCATATAGTAAACATTTTAGGCTTTGTGGGCCCCATGATCTGTGTTACAACTACTCTACTTTGCGGCTATGGGGGGAAAGCAGCCACAATAAAGCACATGAACGAGTGTGGCTGTGGTCAAATAGAACTGTACTTACATAAATAGGCAGTGGGCCCTTCTGACCCATGGACTATACTTTGCTGACCTCTGCACTAGAGGATTTAAATATAAGTACATTTAAAAATACACGTACAATTTACTTCTAATTTTTGTAGAACACAGACTATGTAAAGCAAGAAATCTGTCAAATCACCTGGATTTTTCCAAAAAAGAAAGTTATCCTACTGAAAAGAGCAACATTGCCTTGAGTTAAATCAAATGGAGAGCCATTAACACTTTAGGAGATTAGGGAATTTACAGACTGAAGTAACAGAATGTCACTACTGGTATCTATTTCGTACTTAAAGCATATGACTTGATTTCTAATTAACAACTAAGAATTTGCACTGCAATTACTCTAGAGCAGTGCTTTTCATGACCCATAGTGCCATGACCAACATCAAAAAAGAGAAGACACGCAACAGAAAATATCACTGGATACTGTGTGTGGCAAGGGTTAACTATGGTTATAAAACTTGTATTTTATGCATTATGATTAAAATACAGTTTTCTGAAGGCTGGAATAAAACAAGCTGGAAAAGCGTGGCTCTATTATGCAACCACTACTATTCACTGCGTGTCAATGGCACGCATGAGGAGGCAAGTATTCCTCCAGGCTCCTATGATCTCTCCTTGTATTAGAGTATGAAAACATGTCAGCCTGGTTTTCTGTGGTTGAACATTATTAAGATACCACAACATGAAGAAGGTCTACGCATGTGCAGAAGAACAATCTTTCAGGGCACACTGTATCTCAGTTTCTTTGTTTCCCTGCCTCTCCTCCTCCTCCCTCCATGTCCTAAGAACTGTGTCATAAATTCAATCAGAGTAAGTTTCCCTTTCTTTGAGAACCCTTGTCATAAACAAGTTGGTGGAAAAAGTCTGTTTCCCCTAATTAACTCCCTTTTGACAGTGACTATTTACTGGAACAGGACAGTTATTTAAAAGTACTAATTATTGCCAAATATTTTATATTTGGCAAATATTTTAGAAACCTAATTCTCCACATATCATTTTTATGTAACAGGTCAACTTGTATTTTATTTGGAGCCAAAAGCACACGATTTTTCCCTTTTTTAGCTTGGTTACCAAGAAGCCAGGACTAAATTTGACATTTGAGTAATTGTTTAATCAGTTCTGCTTTTTAACACAATAATCTTTTTCTCTACAGGGCTTCTGATCTCTTTCAATTATCCTATATATGCCCATTATAAAATGTCAATTAAATTTGTATAGTTGAACTCCTTAAATCCTTTCTTGAAGTAGGATTTAAATTATATATCATAAATAGCAAATATAGTAGTCAAATGACCTTACTATACAATTTAAATGTAAAGTGGTTTTCCACATGACAGCAATAGCCTTGAGGGCAACACAACAAAAACTGTGCTAAGGACAAACTATCTTTTTTCCTCTTAAACCTTTAGCAGTGAACTATTCTGAAAGATGGTATTTTTTTCATCTTTTGCCCTGAATGAACTCTTGGAGGACCTGGATGTTCATATGAATTTTCTTTTTCTCTTTTTGTTCCTGCCTTCCACTACCATAATATAATTTTAGAATTTGAAAAATAACAATTAAAATTAGCCTAATCCATAACAGAATCCCCCCCCATACTAATTACATAATGGACCACAAAGCTTACCTTCTCACAGGTCTCAGGTGGCAAAACATTTCTGAATATATATGTACATCAACTCCCAGGCATCCATTAATCACTTAAAAAGTTAAGCAGATACAAGTGATGAACAAGTGGAATTTGAAATTAAAACATTTCCATTTATATTAGCACCCCCCAAAATGAAATGCTTACCTATAAATCTAACAAAATATGTACAAGATCTAAATGAGTAAAACTACAAAAATGATGAATGAAATCAAAGAAGAATTAAATAAATAGAGAGATATCTGAAGACTCAATAGTGTCAAGATGTCGGTACTTTCCAATTTAATCTATAGGACAACAGATTGAATCTATAGATTCTGAGCAATCCCAATCAAAACTCCAGTAAGTTATTTTATAGATACTAACTCAGGTAAAAGACTCAGAATAGCCAACTCAATCAATATTGAGTTGAAGAACAAAGTTGGAAGAATGACACTACCTGACTTCAAGACTTACTATAAAGCTATAGCAATCAAGACAGTGTGGTATTGGTAAAAGAACAGACAAATAGATCAATGGAACAGAACAGAGAGTCCAGAAATAGATCCACATAAGTATAGTCAACTGATCTTTAGAGCAAAGATAGTCTTTTCAACAAATGGTGCTAGAACAACTGGACATCGACATGCAAATAAATTAATCTAGTCAAAGACCTTACACCCTTCACAAAAATTAACTCAAAATGGATCACAGACTTAAATGTAAATCACAAAACTATAAAACTCCTAGAAGATAACATTGGGGAAAAACCTAGATGACTTTGGGTATGTTGATGACTTTTTAGATACAACACCAAAGGCATGATCCATGAAAAAAATAATTGATAAAGTGAACTTCATTAAAATTAAAAACTTGTGCTCTGCAAAAGACAATGAGAAGACAAACCACACACTGGGAAGAAATATTTGCAAAAGATACACATATCTGAAAAAGGGCTGTTATCCAAAATATACACAAAAAAATCTTTAATAAACTGAACAAGAAGAAAATGAACAACCTGATTAAAGAAAGGGCAAATTAAATGTGTCCTTTGTTAAATATATCAAGATATTTAATTAAAAATTTTACCCAACTGAACAAATTTTATAGTATTTGTATCTATTTTGGTGTTTTGTCTTTATAGTAAATAAAGTTCTTGAACAAAGAAAAAAAAATGGACCAAAGACCTGAATAGATACCTCATAAAATAAGATATACAGATGGTAAATACTCATATGAAAAGATGTTCAACATGACATATCATTAGCGAATTGCAAATTAAAACAACAATGAAATACTACTACACATCCATTAGAATGGCCAAAATTCAGAACACTGACACCGCCAAATGCTGATGAGAGCAACAGGAACTCTTACTCACTGCTGGTGGGAATGCAAAATGGCACAGCCACTTTGAAGGACAGTATGACAGTTCCTTACAAAACTAAACATACTTTTACCATATGATCCAGTAATCACACTCCTTGGTACTTACCCAAAGGAACTGAAAACTCTGTTTATATAGAAACCTGCATACAGATGTTTATTTTTTTTTAATTTTTAAAAAAGATTTTATTTATTTATTTGTCTGGGAGGGGGTGCACAAGCAGGGGGAGTGGCAGGCAGAGCAAGAAGCAAGCTCCCTGCTGAGCAAGGAGCCCGATGTGGGACTCGATCCCAGGGTCCTGGGGATCATGACCTGAGCCAAAGGCTTAACCAACTGAGCCACACAGATGTCCCCACACAGATGTTTACAGAAGTTTTATTAATAACTGCCAAAACTTGGGAGCAACGAAGATGTTCTTCAGTAGGTGAATGGATAAATAAACTGTGGTATATCTAAACAATGGATTATTATTCAGTGCTAAAAACAAAAGTGCCATCAAGCCACAAAAAGACATGGAAGAAGCTTCAAAAGCTGCAGTAATTAAAACAGTATGATACTGGCATAAAAACAGACATTTAGATTAATGGGACAGAATATAGAGCCCCAAAATAAATCTATGCATATTATGGTTAATTAATTTATGACAAAGGAGTCAAGAATACACCATGGGGAAAAGACAGTCTCTTCAAGAAATAATGCTGGGAAAATTGGACCGCCATATACAAAAGAAGGAAACTGGACCTCTTGTCTTACACCAGACACAAAAATTAATTCAAAATGGATTAAAGACTTCAACATAAGACCTAAAAGCATAAAACTCCTAGAAGAAAACAAAAAGTGGCCAGCTCTTTAAAATAGGTCTTGGCAATGATTTTTTTTTTTGAATCTGATACCAAAAGCAAAAGTAACTAAAGCAAAAATAAACAATTAGGACTATATCAAACTCAAAAGGTTTTGCACAGCAAAGGAAACCATCAACAAAATGAAAAGGCAACCTACTGAATGGGAGAGAATAATTGCAAATCATATATCTGATAAGGAGCCAATATCCAAAATATATAAAGAACTCAACTCAATAGCAAACAATCTGATTAAAAAATGGGCAGAAGATCTGAATGGACATTTTTCTAAAGAAAACACACAGAATGGCCAACAGACATATGAAAAGATGTTCAGCCTCACTAATTATCAGGGAAATGCAAATGAAAACTACAATGAGATATCACTTCACACTCTTTAGAATGGTTATTATCAAAAAGACAAAAGAAATAACAAGGGTTGGTGAGGATGTGGAGAAAAGGAAACCCTTGTACAGTGTTGTGGGAATGTAAGGTGGTGTGACCACTATGGAAAACAGTATGGAGGTTCCTCAAAAAAATTAAAGAGTGAACTACCAACAATTCCTTCTGGGTATTTATCCAAAGAAAACAAAACCACTAATTTGAAAAGATACATGCACCCCCATGTTCTTGCAGCATTGTTCACAATAGCCCAGATACAGACACAACCTAAGTGTCCATTGATGAATGAACGGATAAAGAAGACGTGCTATGTGTATATATATCACACACACACACACAATTGAATATTATTCAGCCATATAAAAGAATGACATCTTGCCATTTGCAACAACATAGATGGATCTCAGGGACAATATGCTAAGTGAAATAAGTCAGACAAAGGAAGACAAATACTACATGATCTCTCTTTTATGTGTGATCTAAAAAACAAACAAACAAAAACAAAATTAAAAAACCCACCAAGCTCACAGATACAGAGAACAGACTGGTGGATGCAAAAGGAGGGGTGGGGGTTGAAGGGAAGAAATGAGTGAACTGTCCTTTTTTAGTTTAAATAAAGCAATATAAATTTTTAAAAAGTTTAAAAAAGATAAAGAAATGAGCTTTTAAGCCACAAAAAGACATGGAGAAAACTTAAATGCAAATTACTAAGTGACAGAAGCCAATCTGCAAAGATTATATACTATATGATTCCAACTACACAATATTCTGGAAAAGGCAAACTATGGAGACAGTAAAAAGTTCAGTGGTTGTCAGGGCTTGCATGGAGAGAGGGATGAACAGCTGGAGCACAGAGGATTTTTAGAGCAGTGAAACTACTCTCTATACTACCATGGTGGATACATATCATTATACTTTTGTCAAAGTCCATGGAATATACAATACCAAGAGTGAACCCTGATGTAAGCTGTGGATTTTGGGTGATAATGATGTGTCACTGTAGGTTCATGAATTATAAACAAATGTCCCATGCAGGGTGTGGAAGACTGTGTATCAGGAACAGGGTGTATATGGGAACTCTATACTTTACTTTGCTGTGAACCTAAAACTGCTCTAAAAAAGTTTTATTTTTTAAAAAAAGTTAAGCAGATAAATGGGGGAAGAGATTTTAATTACATGAACTTTTCCAATAATTTAGATTTTAGGAAGATCTTCAACTACAGTATGGTATCCATGTCAACTGATAAAGTGATTTTAAAAAAAATCCTATGAGAAAAAAATCCTAAAAGTAGTCCCTAAATAAATCTTGAAATGCCAAATAATTCACACAATGATCACCAGGTAAAAAATTATTTTCCCTTTATTATCAAGCTCTTAAGCTTTCTCACTCTCCATTATTCCACTCTTCTAGAGATCTGTTCAGCAGCATACTCTCAAAACAAACCACTAGATGTCTAAAATCATATTCCGTCAAAGCTTGGGCATTAAGTATGCTTAAGAAAATATTCTCATGAGAGGTGCCTGGGTGACTCAGTTGGTTAAGTGTCCGACTCGATTTCAGCTCAGGTCATGATCTCAGGTCATGATCCAGCCCCGTGTCGGGCTCCCTACTGGGCATGGAGCCTGCTTCTCTCTTTCCCTCTCCCTCTGTCCATTCCCCCCGTCCACCTTCAAAAAAAAAATATTTTCATGATATAGTTAATATACCCAAGCCAAGATAATGTAATGAAGCATAACTGCCATTAACAGAATGACAGAAATACGTATTTTAAAGACAAATCAAGATATTCAAACAACAATGGGTACTTTATTTTCTGGCTGACTGGTGTGGCAAGTCATATGTATACTGGGATGCATAATGTCTTAAGAGGTATTTATTTAAATGTTTAAAAAGGTGATTTTATTTAACCATTTACCTTTATAATTTGAGACAAATACACAGATTCAGGAAATACTGCTATCATTTTGAAGAGTGGAGATCAAATGGAGATGCAATGAGGAAAGAAAACCATTTGGACTATCTAAATAAAGGTTCAGTGTAATCTGTGATGGACTGAATTCTCACCAAATTTCTTCAAGAAATAACCAGAATAATCTTAATCTTAGTTAAGATAGCACAGATATAAGGCTCAAAGCTTGCAAAGAAAAGACTAGAAGGATATACAGATGCAATCTCTAACTGGCTATCTCTAGGTAGTAGGATATTAAATGCTTTAATTTTTTTAATTTCCTAGTTTATTTACAATGAACATGTGACATACCTTCTTATATATTTTTTTAAATCAATGCTTTTAGCATTCAAATTAAATGAAGAAAATGTATATAGTAGGAAGGGGTGTTGTTCACTTGATATTTAAGACAGGACCCTATCTCCCTGGGATATCTGTCCAAAGACAGTCCTATAGTCCCAATTTAGCTCAAGAAGAAACAGCTTGCCATGCTCAC